TTTGTTATAAATATCTTGAAACTGAATATAATCCGCAGGTTATACCTTTGTATGATAAAAGATCTTTTATCCACTTTCCACGAACTAGTAGTAGTAGTTCAAGAACCAAATGAAAACAGGTTTTTGAAGAGTGGTTGTCAGAGGAGGAAATGTTAAGATCTTGGAAAAGAGGAATATGTATCTTTTTCATGGAGCATTTGCTAACTAGGCTGTAATGCAGATATCCTTTGTGCACGAGTTTAAAATTGTTTAGATAAAACTTGTATAATATTTGCTGCTGTGCATCACTGCTTGGAAAAACATGCTTGGGTTTTTATCTGCCTACTTACCCAGTCTTTTCTCATCTTTTATTTTTAGTTTTACCATTTCAAACTCTTTTCCTTTTGTTTTATTGCTCAGTGTAATTTCAGCTGCAGTAGTAGTCACCTGGACATGCTTTTATATATTTTTCTGTTATTATTTTTGGTATTTGTATAGCTTCTGTACTGCATACATATTGCATGGTGGTTAGTAACTCTCAGTTTCTTTTTCTTACCTTGGGATGAGTGAGGCTGAGTTGCACATGGAAATTCCTTACAGTGAACTTCATGCAGCTGTGAATAATGATTTGTGCATAGTAATCTCATGCCCAAATTAAAATTAATTTTTAGAGTTGCTTCTTTTTTTTTTTCCCCCATGTATATTTTGACTAAATTTTAGGGGTTTTTTTTTGGTGTTCCTGAAAAGAAATTTTTTTATTGTTTTGCCTGCTTTTGAATGATGTCATTGTCCTATTCTGAATGTATTGGATTGCAAGGTAATTTGTATTTCATTTTCAGGTAACAAGTATAAATTTTGTATCCCTTAGCTTCTACATTATTTTCCTTTTATGATGTTGAGGGATGCTCATTAGACAAAGCTTCTAAAATTTGGAAAAAGGGAATTTGATTTCTCTCTTTCAATGCAGTTTAATGTAGATAGTAAATAACTGTAATCCAGATGTTCACTTGTCTTACAGTTTTAATATTAATGATACGACAAGTTCCAGTGAAATTTTAATGTTAAGTGTTCTTGAAACAGTGAGGCTAGATACTTTCATTGGGATGTTTTAGTATATATTGTTATATTATTTCTAAGAAACATTTTCACCCCTTCCACCTCTGCTTTGTAAGGACTGTTCCACAGTTTCTGTTACACCTCCAGAGTAATCTTCCAATGTTGTCATTTTTGGATCTGCACTGGTATATTGAGTTGGAAAACAGCTGTCTTCAAGAGCACTTTTAACTGCATGTTGTGCCTTCTCATTATATTTTTATGACAATGCCTGTGGCACAAAGAGGGAGAAAAAAGGAGAAACAATTTTTTTTAAAATTGCACATTGCCACCAAATTAGCTATTTTTTTTTTACTTTTTTTTTTTTTTAATTTACTCAGTCCTTTCATAGTCAAATGGTCAAGTACCTGTATAAGGGAGTTCAGAGAGTTTGATCACACTGACTGTTAGGCTTATACAGAAGTAGAAGAGAGAGACATTTTCTGTCAGGAATAGACTTTGCTCAACAGCATGATCAGAAATGTAAATATCATAATTCTAAACATTCCTCACTCCAACTGCAACACCTTCATAACCTCAGGTGAAAGGTTTTTAAAACATCTCTCTTTGCAGCGCTATTTCCTCAAAATAGATAATTCCAATGGCACAGGAATTCAGTACCTCAGGAGGCACTTCCCAAGTACTCATCTCTTTATAAATGTGGAACTAAATGGTTACAGAGACAGCTGTAGCAGTTTTATTAATGACCTTGGCAGCAGGACGTGTGCAACCTTTATTTATTACATTCACACTCAGTTTTCATGTGGGCATCCCCTGTGGCACTGCTGCTCTTTGATCTTTCCCTGGTTCTGCCGGGAACTGGAGATTTGCACCTGAGATGTTCTCTGCAGCACCTTGCACCACGCAGCTGACTCCAGCCTGTCCTTCACTGTCAGCTTCCCCATCTGTTTCCATCTGTATTTGTCTGGGACTGACTCAAATCAGGCATTTCCACTGTTCTTTCTCCCGAGTTTGTGATGATGGGAACGCCTTTGATGAAACAAAGCGGCTTTATGTGCTTCTGCTTCATCAATGCCTCTTTGTTTGCTCGTACTGCAAATGTCCTGTCTGACCATCCAGCCCCTGAAAATGGCACAGAACAGCTCCTGGTACCAAAGAGTTTGGAAACGGACAAACCATTGCACATCAAGCTCAAGGAGTCAGTTCCCATGCTAGGAACTGAGCAGTCTGAATTGAAATGTCCTGACACCAGAAAATGCTGTCATTAAGAGCAATTTCTCTCTGCAGACAATTAAAACTGGTGAAGATCTGTAGTGCTACAAAGATCTGCTCATTTCCCATGTTCCTGCATGAACAGTTGTCCATGTCCCAATCCCATCACTATTCATGTGCCTGCTCATGGCTGATTTTATGTGTCAAATTCCCTTGCAGAAAACATCCCTTTCCCCTGGGCTTTATTCCTTTTTCTCCTGTGTCTGCCCAAGACAAGCCTTTAGTACCTTGCTGGACCATCAAAGGGCAGTCATTGCACCTCAAAGTGCAAAAGGAAATCCTTCCAGCTTCAGTCTCTTTAAAGTTTACTGGAGAAAGCAAGCATTTGGAAAAAATTAAAATATAGTGGCAACTAACAATGTTTTTATGAGACTTCTATCAAATGCCTCAGGTGTTTCAATATTGCTGGTTTTTTGCAGTTAGAATGACAAGATAGGCAAAGAACTTTTAATATGTTTGCCTTATTTTTTCCTCTGTTTACTGCATATTTAGCTTTAGGATTTTTTCTTCACCAGCTGTTGTGATACCATGTCTGCTGAAAGGTTTTGAAGAATGTAATTGTACATTATACAATTTCCTCATGAGCTTGTACTTGAATGCTTCATGGTGATCCTTTTGCTAGTCTCACTGCCTTATCTTCTCTCAACTGTTTTTGTGACAGATTTATCATAATGATTTTATATACAGTGGAAGCATTTGAAACATTTAACATAAGAATTTAGTTGCAAAACTAGATATGTCTAACTTGAAAATATTTTTTGCCTTCCGTAGTGTAGTATTAAATGCAAATTGCCTGTCATCACAAGTTTTAATTACATGAGCTGAATGCTGAGCAGGAAAGATGTAAAATATCAGGAAGAAACAGAAAGACTTTGTTTCATGTTTGTCATGTGCCAACAGCTTGGAGCTGGGTAGAATATTCTAAGTATAAAGATGTACAGTGTTTCTCTACAAAAATGGAGACATTTATTTCACAGCTGTATGTTGAAAATTGATATTTTTAAAAAGCTAATTCCTTGAACAGTATCTTAGTAAGGTAAGCTGTCAGTGCAAGCATTTTTATCTTACATAATTGCTAAAAAGAGATCTGGAAAGAAAAAGGAACAGATGCATCTTTTGAAAGATTAAAGTACTGTTCCCTGTGACTTGCAATGTGCTGAAGTGATGGTAAGCAGGTGGAAAAGTCAGTTGGGTTCAGTTATAAAATATATCATTGCGAAGCATGTGTGTAATTAGGAATTGGGGGTTCTTTAGTGAGGAAACCTAACTATATTTATTTAAGTAAAGAAACTTATTTCAGTAAACATGAAGAACTTCTAAATTATAATGCAACTTAGCTAGTGTGTGGCAATATATGAATAAACTAGCAATAATAATCAATGTATTAAAAAAATCAATAATGCTTCTAAAGACCCTCTGTACCTTCTCTCTGTAGAGCTTAAGCACTTTCATAGTGTATCCCAACAAAAATTAAAATAACTTTCCTAAAGAAGTTCAAGCTTAATGTGAAACCCAGTAAAGAGATTTATCTGAATGTCAGGTTGTGCTGGAGTAGGTTTAGGAGCAAGGAGAGAAACGAGCCAGTCTTCTGCAGTGATCTGCAAAGACAAAAGAGAGCCCAAAGCATCACCAGCACAGATGCCTGTGGCTCCTCTCTGAGAATGGCATGGGTTTTGTCTAGAGTATTTGGTGTCTTTCCAAAACTTCTTTTATTATAGAACAATATCAGTTGTTAAGCATAACCAGCTCTAAACTTGGCAATTTATTAAATCCTTAGGAAGGCATCAGATAGCAGTAGTTCTTGGAGCTGTATGAGGGTAACGCTCTATTGCACCTCCCTAAAGATAACTGATGTTGAAATTCATAAATAATTCAAAAATACTTAGAAAACACATGATTCATTGCACAATATGCAAGAGAGACAGATGAAAAGTGACTACTTCCTGCCATTTCTACAAGGAGAATTTGAGGGTCTGTAGTAAACTTAATCATATTTACAGCAGGTTGAATAAGCAATTGAATTTCATTCAGGTATTTGTTTCCCTTTTTGATGGATTTGCTGAGTCTGCTTCCATGGACTCCTTGTGTTTCCTTGTATGCATGGAGAGTGTTCTGAATCCCAGTTGAAGAACTATTTGCATATTGATATTCACACAAGGAAATTATAGCAGAATAGCTGTGTATAATCCAGGCACCTGGCTCCTGGAACACATATTCTGAATATAAATAGTATTTAGGGCTTCCTGAGGCCAGGAGATGCTCCTGTCCCTGTAGGACAACTCTTTATTCTTTGACTCTCTGGCCTGCTTACACACACACACATGTGGATATATTTCTGCAAATAAATATCTGGCTATAAATGTCAACGTTTCAAAAGTTAAAATGCTAATATACCCTTGATTAAATTTGTTTTGTTATTTGAGAGATTAGAAAAGAACTCTGGAATTAAGGTTGCAGTGCTAATAACAGGAATCAAACACACAAAGTTGTAGGTTTAAACTAAATCCCTACTCTGAGTGTTGTCAGTGCTGTGGCAGGGTCCAGCTGACTTCTTCCATGAGGATTCTTGTTGGCTTTGTAGAAGCACTCCTGTCGTTCATGTAGCTCTTGAGAAGATGCTGGAGGTCTCTTTCATGGGTTGCTGGGTTGATAGCTGATAATTTATTAACTTTCCCATCGTAATTGGATCCTTTCAGATGTTCAGCCAACTGGTCAGGCACACAGTGTGAGAGGCCAGCTCCCAAAAGCAGCAAGTCTGACAACATCAGCACCAGTAAGTACTTCCAGTCACTGCTGTCACTTGGCAAATTTGGCTCACTTTAGAAATATAAGCCTTGTGCTATCTTAAAATGTGAGTTTATGATCATGAAAAATGTTCATTACTGGTATATTTTTCTTTAAAAAAACCCAAAATGTAGATATTTCTAGACTTTTAGATTGCCATTTGGTGTTGCACGAGGCAGTTCTTAAGCCTTGCACTCCCTGCTCCAAGGACTACCTGCACTTTTTTTTAAGAAAAGAATATCCAGTGACAAGCATTTGGCCATATCAGCCCTGTGCAGGGAACTAGTGGGAGACCTCTGACCATTTAAATCCTACAGAAAGCATCAAAAATAGAGCTGTAAGTAGTGCACAACTTTTGTATTGGCCATCTGCAGAGGGGTGAGTTTTACCTACTGTGAAAATCATCCTGAAAGTAAGAATAGCTCCTGCTGAATGTTTTTTAACACCTCTGAAAGCATAAAAGGATGGCATTGCTGCAGTATTGGCAGCTGAAAGTGGCCAAGGCTGCCTGCAGAGTGCTGAGCGTGCTGCTGGTGCCCTGCTGTACCTGCCCTGGTCACATTTAGCCCAAGTGGAGCAGCACAATGAGCTGCCTGCTATTCAGGTCAGCTTGGTGGTTGGATGAAACTTTCCCAGCCATCCACACGAGTGAGAGAACACTCACAAGCTGGAAATAGGCAAAAAAGCGGGCAGAACTTGGGGCACTGCTTCCTTGTGAGGGAATAACAGCTGCAGTTTGGGGAAGGGGTTCCTCCCAGACCCCAGGCTGCACCGTGGCCACCAAATGGTAACTCATCCCTGCTGGAATGTTTTTCAGGGCTTTTTTTCTGAATGTTTGCATGCCAAGACAAAATTAACTTTTTTTTTTCTTTTCTTTTTTTTTTTTTTTTTGGCACCTAAGTAGAACTTAACACACTTATTTATCAAATGTTTTCTTAAAAGAGCCTTGTTGTAATATCCTTTACACCTCTGAATCTTCATAAGCTGAAGTGAACTCAGGATGCTTCAAGTTTTTATTCAGTACTTTATTTCATGTCTCTGACAACCTGATTTGGCTTTCAGGCAGAAAGCCTTCAGGCAGAATTCAAAGCAGTTTTCAATTCTTTATTTAGACTTAATGTAGAGCAGACACTGCCAGCAGCTTATTTTTTTAATAAATCAATAAATGTTGTCAGTGAAACAACCAGCAATATTTTTGTTTTCCACCAGATAAGGATTGTGATATTAAAGAAAATACATGCCACTCCACACTGGATTTATGCTGGATTCCTGCTTTTATAAATCCTGTATTTATAACATAAAATTATTTGTTGCATGTATTTCTTTACGAGCAGATACTTAAAGCAAGGCTCAGAAAGAGGTATACAGTTACTGACCTTATTTTTGCAGATAGTCCCATTTCAAGGAAATTATCTGCCAAAATAATGTGAAGCCCATTTTGTTCTTCCCTATTCCTCCTCTCCTCTAACACTGCTGTCTGATCTGTGCACTGTTTTTCTGCTGCATTAAGCATTATTGTAGGTTTTGTGATTGCCTATATCAACATAACAAAATTGTTGGCTCTCGAGTACAATGCAGTAAAATGCAGCAAAATGCAGGAATGCACCAACCGTCTAGAAGATTGCTGGCTGCTTTTTATTTTTCCACAAGTAAAGATAGTAGGTACCTCTAAATACTAATTAATTCTTCAACCAAAGCTAGGCCTACTGGATATTTTAAATTAATAATTGCATGACCTAAACTGTTGAAGATCCTGGCCATGCCACTCCAGGCCAAATTGTTAAGCAATTCCAGATTTTCATGGACTGTTGCTGCAAATGAGGGCAGGGAATTAATCCAAATTATATTGGTATCCAAAAATGGGAAAGTCCTGATTTGTTTATAAAAGTACTTGTGTGTACACTATTAACTGTAATGAAGTTGGGATTTTTATTGATCAGCATTAAAATCTCAAATTCATGAGTGAAGCTCATTGCATGAAATTGCATTGTTGGTGTGGGAAATTATTCTCTTTTAATTAATTTAATTGTTTTACAGCTGTGAAGCCATGATTATTCAATGATATTTCCTTCTGTTTTAGGAAGCATAGCAATCATTGTTCCTCTTGTTCTACTGGTGACTTTGATCACTACTCTTGTAATTGGACTATTTCTTTGCAAAAGAAAACGAAGGTAAGTTATTTTATACTGATTTATGATGTAAAAAAATAAATAAATCTTTAAAGTATTTGCACCTTTCTGATATATAAAAAAATCACTTTATGTGAGAAACGAAAATGCAACAAATGACCCATGACTTGTTTCTGGAGGCAGCAAATCAGTTACATTTTTTTTCTTGCTGGAACAACCATATCTGTTATTGATACTCGAGTTCTTCGTGCGGTAGTTAAAAAAATTGTAGTTCTTACCCACTTTGCTCAATCCTGACAAGGCTGTATAAGTGCTAATAACTTTATCCAGACACTTAGAGAACTTAACAGAATTAATGTATTTCATTGAAACCACATACTAAAATTTTGAGTATTGTTTACATCTTCAAGTTGTATTGAAGACGTAAACAATACTCAAAATATTTACTGTGGAATTCTAAACCTTTTCCTCATTACTGTGGTCCTTTATTATCTTGCACAGGAAGAAAAATTCCAGCACTGAGTAGGGAATATTTTGTTCTCTTGAATTTACCTGCCTTAGAGCTGATAATGAGCTTGAGTTTGACTTTCTGACTTCGGGCATTTCTTCCAAGGCCTTTTTTGGTGGCCAGGGGAGGCAGGAGTATTTCTGCTGTATGAGACACCTGAGAGAGCTGCTTCAGATGTTCAAAGGACATCACACTGATGGTGATGCAGATTTAGCAAGGGGAGATTCCTGGTAATAAGGACATGGCCCACTAGGGAAGGCGGAGTGGGAATCGGAGAGCAAACCATTTACTTCAGGCCTGTAGCTGTCCTGCTGGCTGCCCTTGAGCAGTTGTCTTCCTTCCTCCTGGGGCTTGTTACCCCACATCTGAAACCAAGATAATGTCTCTTTGTTAAGTCCTTTAAAAATAAGTGATGAATCTGCTGTTTCTGCAAACGTGGCCGTTTATGGGGCCATTTCAGTGCTCCAGGCTGAAAGAATCTTTCAAGTTACTATGATCTGGCATCACATGCAACATCTCTCTCCCCTGCCAACTCTGGTGTAAACTAGTGAGCATCAATTTTTAAAACCTTTTTTGTAAAGCCAATAAGATAAATACATTTCCTGACCATACTGTTAGTAGTGCTGACCCTGCCAGACTCCATGGATGTCATTATGTGCTGCTGCACCTAAAATGCCAAGTTTAGTGATAGCCAAATCCTGAAACCAGTTGCTGCTCTGTAAATTATTTAGGTTACTGAGAATCACTTGTTAAATAATAGATTTTTCAGTGGAGAAATAGAACTAGCCTCAATAAAGGGCTTTCTTTTTAAATTATATTTGAAAATGTATTTTAGAGTTATTTTACCTCTTCAGAGAAGACTGTCAAGTATTAAACCAGATATAGCTGTTCAACACTTGCATGCTACTGTTAAGTGCCTATTTTAGGAAATATTTTTTCAATGACTTTTCTGAAAAATACAGATCATTTAGTATATTGGATTTCAGATACTGACTGCATCTTACTCAGCCAACAAGAGGACTCGACTGTTATCATCCTGACTGTGACCTCCCTATTATTCCCTTGTAATTCTAGAGAACATATTGCACTGGGAAAAAATTACCCTCTTGAGGTTATTTCAATTGCTTGGGCTGAAATCACCTCCTTAGCTAAAAGAAATGAATTCAGCAACAGAAACAATTCAACTCAATCACTTATCTTTACTGATACCTAATTCAAGGTTAAAAATAAGGCTCTGTCTTTTATTAAAGCTTGAAAGAAAATTCAAGTTGAACTTCAGTGTTCCAATCACCACTGGCAGGGAATGCAAACTGGAATGAGGAGAAGTTCATACATTTTTAATGCATCGTGATGGAAACATTTGCTTGTCCTCAGTTTACAGCTGACTTTGGGCAACTGGTTTGAAACAAAAGTGAAATGAATGAGCAAGAGGACATGACTCATATCCTCTCTGCCTTCATTCCTGCAGGGAATCTGCAGTGACTTTGCAAGGCTTTCCTTGGAAGTGAGGGAAATCTGGAAATAATTGGAGGAAGTCCGGGTTGTAGACAGCGAGTTAGCACTTTGTATGGATTCACACCACTACAGCCAAACTGAGAAAAACAATCAAATTCTGCTTCCAGCTTCTGTGAGATCTATACGTAGACTCAGATTGCTACTTTGCTTGGAAAATGGAAGGATTTTATGATTGTCTCTGGAGGAAATGTTTTTTCATCCTGTTGATTTTAGAGATTAAAGAGAAACAAAATACCGAACAGTTTGCTTGAAAGTTCACTATCTTCTTTTTTGTATGTTTCTGCATTACAGGACAAAAACTATCAGAAGACAACCCATGATAAATGGAGGAATCAATGTAGAAATTGGCAATCCATCATATAACATGTATGAGGTGGGCCATGACCACAGTGAAGGTGGTCTTTTAGCCTCAGATTTTACTCTAAATGCAGAAAAGGTAATTTCTTTTCTCTTTCTGGTGGCAAAGCCATTTTATGTCTTGCAAAGGTTTTGTCTTTAAATGTAACGAATAGAAATGTAGAACAATGACATTTAGATTTAGTTAATGAATATAAAACCAAGTTAGATTTCATTAGAATAAATGTCATGTATATATTAACAGCTGTTTTATAGTCTGATGCTGTCTGATGGTCATTTTTCCTAGTGCCTGTATTTGATCAATATAGAGTTAGAAATTAACTACAAAATGATTGGGGTTTTTTTGTCAAGGCAGACGTGTCTATGAGCTGGCAAACCACAACCTAGTGGCAAATATTTAAAATTGGAAGCACATTATTGTCCAGCCCCTGTCTGAAGCACAAAAGAGTGCATGCATGCATGGGAAAACTAACTTATTTCACACGTGAAAACCTGCCGAGGCGCGAGGAGCTGGGATTCCTGACGGGGCAGATAGATTAAATGTTTGCACAAAGCTAGCAAGTATTATCATTTCCTTGTGAGAGATGCTGTCAGTCCTGCAGCAGCACTCCAGTGATTGAAGTGCCGGAGTGATGTGCCGCGGGATGAGCGGGGTATCTCTCCCGGAGCTCCGTAATCAGACACACACCAAAGGGCAGCCATCACTCCGTGGCGTTTCTGACAAAGCCATAACGGGATTACTGATAGCTCTAGGAATGTCACCGCTGCATCACACAGGCAGTGTGCTCAGTGCAGGAGGTAAGCTGAAAATGGAGTTACTCACTGGAGGCAGAGTGGCTGAGCCAATGCTTATTGTGAAGTCTGGCCCTAATCCTTAGTGGAAAACGGTTGGAAAATGCTGAATTTTATGACCATATTGAATGTAAGAATTTTTTGTGCTGAGGATTGCCTGGAAGGAGGTTTTTATAAATGCAGATCACTCTAAAATAATGTTTTTAGTTGGTGCACTGTTTATTTAACAGTGTTGATAAGTACATGTGGAAAATGCTCTATTGGCACAGAAACTGAAATTTTCTGTTTATACAGGCCAGATACATAGGGGGAGGGTCCACTGCATTCAAGCTGCCCCACACAGCTCCATCAATCTACTTAAACTCTGACTTGAAAGGACCACTATCAACAGGGGTGAGAAATGATGATCCAAGTCCATTCCATTCCACCACAGCCCCTTTCTAAAGAAAGTCTGTCTGTCATTTTTGAGTAGAGGCATTTTCTGTTTGTTTTTAATTTTTTCTTATTTACTGTAATGAAGAATGACAGTAAATAATACATTTTCTATTTGAAATAAAGGGTGCCCCTCTGCATACAAAATTTCATCTGTACCCATCATTGTAACATGATCTAAAACTGCAAATGTCTTTGCAAAAGAATAAAAAAAAGTAAGCAATATCATGCTTTGCCACAATATTATATAAGTTTAGCATGGCCTTCACGTGTCCTTTAGCCACGTGTCCTGATATATTTGCAATTTGTATGCATTTACAGACATTTAGTGAAGTTTATCAAACTGAAAGATGGTCCCAAATAATGGAAACAAGTGGCCTTATTTTAGAGGAATTTGATACGCATAAAAAATTAACAATTACCTTCAATATTTGCTAAGCATATTTTAATTGTTCAGATTTCAATGAATTTGTATCATAAAAGAACTTCTAAAACATTGGACTTTTTACTCCAACTTAGTATGAGCTTTACAAACATTAAGATTTAAGATACAAAAAGGACATCAATATGACATTCATTTCCATGTACCTCAGTATATATCCATTTTTTGTGCCATTCACGTTCTTGCATGATTGTAATATGTTGTATTTGGAAATGTAGTAATTGTTATGGGGTGTGTATTTTCTGATGGAGCACAGAACCATGGATGATGAAAGCCAGAATATTCACCCATCTTTAACTTTTTCTCTTAAATTCTGGTCACTCCAGCTTCTTTCTGTACCTCACTTTACTGCCTTGTGTAATCAGTACCACTGATGATACCAAAGAGTTATCATGAGGCAGACCCTACTATTATATATAATTTTAATAACTCAATAAGGCACTGCATAGATGCAAAAGATCTCTCTTCTGTTGTGGTTATCATCCTTAATAATGGTTGTCAATGAAGTAAAAAAGTCCTGACAATTGAAAGAGACCTAAATTTCTGATTACAATCATGACCACAAAAGTAAAAGTCTATGGGGACAGACAGATAGATAGAACTGAGAGTAGCTTTTTTTTTTTTTTTTTTTTTTTTTTTTTTTTTCAGTAAAAGTCTATGGGGACAGACAAACAGAACTGAGATTCTCAGACAGAACTGAGAGTGGCTTTTATTTTTTTTCCTGTTTTTTAATTAAATAGATGTGGCTCAACTTGTTCTCCCTCCACTCCAGGAAAGTCTGGACCACGAGGCAATCACTTTTTCATCTGTAATAGAAGGAAGGGCAGCTTTTAACTCACTAATTGAGCAGCTGCTATAGCCATCCAGCCTGAGGAGTATCTGAATCCTGGGCTCAGAAAACGAATTGAGCAACAAGGAAAGGATGAACTAAGACTTAAAGTCATTTTTCATTCCTTGTTTCCCAGGGTGTACTCAGGATATTTTCAAGTCAGGAAAACCTACTCAGTTCTGGTTTGGCCAATTTAAAGTTTAGCCACTTCATATTACACCAAACAAATTAATTTCCCTTTTTCAGAGCATCTTGATGTTCCACTCAGTATCTGTGCAAGCAGAGCAGTGCTGATAAATTAGTTGTAAAAAGAGGAGGATTTTGACCACAAGGTGCCCTTTCATGTTATCGTGGGTAAAAGCTGAACTCTAATTGGATAGCAAAGTTCTTCTAGAGACAATAAAGGTACAAAGTATGAAGGAAGTAGTGGAGACTCAGGGGATTTCTCACACAATGAAGCGCTTTGATGCATTAAAAATGGACTTGTCCTATGCTGAAGTGCCACTCTTTTCAACAGATGTTTTTTCATTACAGTCCAAACCACCAAAATTGCTGAGAAAAGATTTCTCAATTTGTAACTGCTATGATATATTAACAGTTATACTGGTTTGTTATTAAAGTTTAATTTACATGACAAAAGTCTTGAATTTTTTGGTCAAATCATGTTGTGTATTTGGGCCACAGAATTCGAAAACATGGTCAGCTATTGATGGGATGCTGATGTCTTAGAACAGGTAATATATGGAAACTGTTGGCTGCAGTTTTCTACTGTTAAACTTGTCACATGGTCTCACAGTGCACCTTCTCTATAAACTCCTTCATATCTATTCTGAAATCTTCCAGTGTAATAAGGTGGACAAGTCAACCTCAGAGACATTTTTTCAAGGTTTTTAATTTAATTTTTGTCAATGTTTTTATGGTTTTAATATCATAATATGCTGCATGTCATGTCATTGGTTACTTTAATAGCATGTCTCATCATGAATTTAATTTTCAACTAAATAATTAACTCATCATCAGGTTTGCAGACGTCCAGGTATCTATTAAATATGTCCTGTTGTATTTTATGTGTACTTGTTCTTGCTTTAACAAAACCATTTCCATTTCCATAAATGCTAATTTTGATTCTATCTGACTGGTCTAATGTTTGCTTAATTTCTCTGCAGCCAACAAATTACGCCAATCCAGTATATGCAAAGTTATACGTGGATGGACAAAACTGTCGAAACTCCTTAGCAAGTGTTGATGAAAGAAGAGAACTTCTTCCAAAGAAAATAGATATTGGGATAAGGGAGACTGTGGCATAATCTGCTGTTACCTTTTATACTCTGTATAAATGTATAAAAATATAAGGATTACTTTTCTATGTACCAACAGTATTATAATTGTTTTGGCATCAGCATTACCTCTGTTTTTTGTTTGGTTGATTGTTTTCTGGGTTTTTCTTTTGCTGATGACTTTTGACTGACCATTTGTAAGGTATTTTTATGAAAAAGAAACTGCACTACGGTACAATTTACAACAATGCTGCTGAAATGACACACCTTTAAATTTGTTAAAATGGCAAACAACATATTCGTTTGTAGCGTGAAAATGAGCAATCTATTTTCTATGAACTTTTTTGGTTCTACTTAATCGATGAAGATGGTATCTGCACTTTTTCATTATGTAGTCTGGAAGCTGTAGTACAGTGTGTAATTTTGTTTATTTTAAATGGTGAAAGAATGATTGAATGGTCTACTCTCTTCTTTGTGCCCATTAGAACTTCTCTTCAGATCCTGATGAAGCTAGATAACTTCTCACAAACAAACATAACTTTGCTTTTGAATTAGCTTTAGGTTGCCAAGAAGTAAACAAGACTATAGAAGTGAAACATCTAATGATCTGCATGAACACAATGATTATGTTTCAGAAATTCAGTGACTGTACATGATATACTAAACATATATACCATGTAAACAAGCTTTGTATTTATTAAAACCTTATAGAACATAGTAACGATATATCTTGGAAGCTGAAACCTTACTTGCTGTGGGACAAAGCATACGAACTCCAACAGTCCTGTAGGACAGTAGCCACCCTAGAGCACAAGAGGGCATTGCCTACACATGCTTTACATGTTTATTCACTTAATCACACGCAGTTCTTACGGATTAATAACTCCCCAGCTCACACCGAGCAGTGGGGAAAAAGACAGACCCCAAACCTTAAGCACACTCAGATGATTACAGCATTCAGTTTTGACAATCATAAATAAAACCCCTCACACCCCTTTAATGATATTAAAGGATTCAAAACACGGCAGTTTCTTTAATTTAACATAAACTGTGGTATTGTGGAGGTAAAAGGAGCCAAGCTGCATATTCGTGTAACCTTAGCAAAGCCTAAGTTTCAGTAGTCTGGGTTCAATATCAAAGTCCAAGTATCAAAAGTGAAAAGCATCAGTATCAGTTTCCAGCACTTCTCTGACCTGGCCTGTTTTCTGTTGTTGCTGAGAGGCAAAATCCGACTCACCTTTTTTTAATTTTGATGGAAATAAAGAATACAATTACTTTCAGGTTTGAACTGAATCAAAATATTTTATACATAACTTTAAAGGCACAAAAGACGTATTCACACATATACTGTGGAGGACTCTTCCTTCCTCTGCTAGACATGACTGACTTTTAGCTATCATAATATATTAACCTAACAGATTAAATATGTTTGTGGTTGCTCTTTATTCCCTTTGTACAAGCATTACAAAAATAACTGCTGTTTTATAAGAAATTTTTGTTGTACTATTGTGCATGCATACTACCTATTTCTAAACTTTGCCATATTGGGGCCTTTATAAAACTCTTGATTTATGTAATACTAGTGCAATTTTGCTTGAACAATGTTATGCATATCATAAACTTTTTCAGGTTCTTGTTTAAGTACATTTTTTTAAATTGAACAGTATTTTTCATTTTGGTTATAATAGTCATTTTGCCTATGTTTCTACAATGAAGTGTTAAATACTTTATAAAAAAATTGTTGACTGATTTATTTAAATGAAAATCTACATACTTAATTCAGTGTGTTGACTAATTTTTAAATTTAACTTATAAAATGAAAGCTAAAGAAAGAGCAAATTGAAGCAAAAAAACATTACTTTGTACAAATGGCTAAATCCATTTTCTTAATGAGAATTTTTGCTTTTTATACAAATTCTATTTGAATGTTTTTGCAGCTCTGCACGTGTTTGGATGACTTAGGTGTATAGCTGTATATTAATGTCAATAGAATTTTAAAGCTATTATTTTTTCTATAAAAATACTGTATTAAATAGTTTCATACCACACAGCTATGATTCCACAGGTTCTGCCTTTGTTCTGCTGACATAATCAGAGATGGATTAGGCCCTCTTTTATTTATTTTTTTTCCCACAATTACAGTTGTTATGAGGCGTAAGTAGTTGGAAATTTCAGAAACTTTGCCATTAATTTTCTGGAAGAGAATCTCTTGTCTTCAAAACTCAGGTAGATCTAAATTTTATCTGGTGGGTATAGAAGTAACATGAGCTAAAGCATGAATTCTTACACAGGCCTGAGGAATTTTACTCATTGTGATGTCTCAGTTTCCCTTCACTGAGACATTTTATTTACTTTACACCTGCTTGAGAGTTAATCACTTTGTAAATAATAATTTATTTCCTCATAAATACCCAGTTGATGTTAGTGGAGCTATTAAATATTTTATATTAGATCAGAATGTGGTCATAAGTACGTAGGCAGAATTTTGATGGAGATACTGAGCTCCACCACTGCCTTACTTAATAATCTTTAAATTGCACATAGGTGTAACAATCCACAATGGGTTTTTCTTTGTTTTTTTCATTTTACCAAGGTTCTCCACAGGAACTCTCTCCACAATCCTTCAACAGCCCCAGAATCCCCAGGTTCTGTAGGTGGGCAGAACACACAAGGAGCTGAAGGGTGAAAGATAGAGAACCTGATCAATTACTTACACATTCATCCTCAGAAGTTCAGTAAAATGGTTTGGGCAGGAAATTCTATAAAATTTTACAAGGGACAAGGGAAATGTTTAACTTTTTACATTCCCACAGCCTTTTTGCTGTTATTTAGAGCACAGGTTCATGTGTGTTGTAAGTTGACACAAGCTTAGAAGTAAAAAGAAAAATTGGCTGCATCACAGATAGAAGAATCTGTCTCTTCAGAGTGTAGTTGCAAGGCTTTTCCTGGTTGTTTTCCCATGAAAGCATTCAGTGAACATTCAGGTGAAATGCCAGTTCTCTACCATTCCACAGAATTCATTGGGATAAAATTTTTCTCTCACAGTACTAATGATTTTGCTTAGCAATGGGAAGGTGTCTGTGGCTTCCACAAATAGCAGGAGTTAAAGTTATTTACAGAAATTGAACTGTTCATTGACTTTGTGCTCTTAGGCTAAGGAATACCCATGTTTTCATTCAATAGACAACAGAAAGAAATCTATGTTTGAAGGGGAACATGATGTGCTCCATCACGAGCTAGGTTCTAAAATTCTTTGCTGAATGGAGAATCTCTATGCAAAACATGAAAAAAAAAAAAAAAAAAAAGGTAAATTTAGAGACCACGAGAACCTGGACCAGGATTAGCTGAGGCACAGTGCAAAGGGCCAA